ACATTTTGAAATTCAAAGCTGATACTGAAGATATATTGAGTGCATTTTCATGTGAAATATATCTTCAAGCGACTTTGAAGAAGCTCTCAATATCCGTAATGGATTGAAGTAGATTTCGAGTAGTTTTGAGATTGCTTTGGGTGACGTGAGAAATTTTATTAAAATAAATTTTTCAAATAATTCTTTTGTGAATCTAGGATGAGATGCTTTAGTGACGTTTATTGAATAGATTGGAGGAATGAAATGTTTGAATTCTTTAAACATGATAGCATATAGCACAAAAGTGATTTGTGACAGGAAAGCAATGACACTAGGGTTTTAGGTGCTTCATACTATTTTTAACTTTGAACTGAAACTTTGGATATCGATTAAGTTATAATTAAAACTGTTTTGATTATACTAATTATTTTGGGCGTCATTCATAAATGACGTCTTTTAAAAAATTATAGTTTTTGGATTTTGAGGCTACATACTGCTTATGTCTCAAAATCTTAGAGCCTCCTTAAATGAAAAACGTCATTTGTAAACCACCTCGCCTCAATTAAGTTTATTTTTAACACAAACTGAAAAAGCTGCAGGATATACCATCATGTGATGTCTCCATAAATAGAGCAACAGTTCTTTAATTAGAATATTGTCATGATACTTTCCGTTTTGAATTTTTTATTGCTGTTTAAAAGTTTTTTGGCAATTCTGATAAGAAAATGTGTGCAAACATTTATGGAAGCAATAAAAAGTTGAGTTTAGAAAATAAATTTTGGGGGCACGAAGATGTAAATATTTTTATCTGTCAATGTTTGCGGAAATAATTTGCAGAATGTTTAAGTTTTGATACTTCTAAATTCAGTTTCATAGAAAATGAGCTTTACATGACAAAACATTTTTTGATACACTAATTGGTTCTATTTGTTATCCCCAAAAAGACAAATTTTAAGGCGGAGCTGATCAAGAGCCAGACTGAGCTAGTATCAATCCGCGTTGATGCAATACAAACAACAGTTTTAAGAATAGATACAAAAATATCGTCCAGTGGTGTTCAACCTTTTTTGTGCCATTTTCCTAAGCTTTTACCAAAACCGTGCACAGCATTCGGTTCATGGGATATCTCAATTCTTTCTCTTCACACGGGTGTGCCTAGAATAGAGGCTGGACACCACTGCCTTAATGGAATTCTGTAGAATTATCTAAGGCAGTGATGGCAAACTTGTGGGCTGTGGCACAATAGTGTGAAGTGAAAAAAACTTGGGATATCTCGAATCGTATGCTGGGTGCCGTAGCTTACCAAAATTGCACACAGGTTGACCATCACTGTATTTAGGAATATAAAAACTGCGCAGATGTTTGACTCACTCATGTGGGACTTTTCTGCTTTAAGCGCTAGTATCCCTAGCTACCTTTTCAATGCCTTGCGTCATTATTGAAATTGTTTGTCAGTAGGAGCATGGAAGGCGGTTTTGAGCAATGAATAACAACAAACTAAGCATAAATATACTTTTACAGAGGCAGAGCTCCAAGTCGAGCTCTGATATTAGGCATAAGATTAGACATTAGCACCAATAAGAACTTTACAAGCAAACCTGGAACAAAATCTTTACGAATCTTTGAGATTTAGACTTAAGTTGTAATTCTAGCTTGATAATGTCCAAAATATTTCATAACAATTATTTAAAATTCTTCAAATTTCTCTTCTTAACTTCCTCTCAATTTATCATCACAAAGAAGCAGCAATGAAATTACATTTTGAACATTAAATGATGAATTTAGTCTCATTACATACATTTTCATTATTATTTATTTCGGCAGTCGGTGATTCTTCAACTTTAATTGAGCCTATGAATCATAAAAGAAGAAGATTAAAGCGTAAATGCTTTTAATAACATCTCTTTAATATTTTATTCATTCCACTCTTTGAAAATTCGTGCGGTGCAGCAACAATGAAGTCGAAAAAAAATGAGAAACAGAACAAAAGAGAGGAAAAAAAAGTTTTTAAAATAAAATTATAAAAAAGCGTATTTATATCAAATTGACCCATATTTGTTGCTGTTTTACTTTTTTTTTCGTAACCACGAGACGACGACGGGAAAAAAAGAGCGGAATGGTAAAGTAAGTAAGCAAAGCATGAAGAAGAAAGAAAGAATCGTCATCAAGTCAGTAGTGAGGAATTTATGTTGCTTGCACTGTTTTGCTTTGCTTATTTTTTTTTTCATGTCGTGACATAGTTAGATGGAGGCGAAAAGAGCACTCGCAGATGGATAAATTTTCATTTTCTTTTGCATTTTGGCATGCAAATATTTAAAAGTTGGCTGATGATGGTAAAAGAAATTTCTCTGGATGTTTGTCATGACGTGGATGATGTCATGGATTTACATTGTTGATGAGGAGAAATTAAGATTGAAAATATGCAGCAATTCCTTGAGCTTGGCAGCTGTTGATGGGCAACTAAGCATATAGTTGATTTGAGTAGCCACATTCCACTTTACTCAGTAGGAATAAGATTCAATAGGAATCAATAGTCAACGATTATATGAAATTATTATAAAGAGTTCTGTCAGCTCTTTAAAAATCAGTTACGTACATCCGTAAAGTAATTCGAATAGTGATTGACTCAAATTTGATAAAGCTACTCAAAAACAGTTTGTTCGAATCCTAAGAATGCCAAATTTGTAGTTTTGCAAATGTTTAAACACTTAGACTGCTTGATGTATGAGACCAAGTTAAAACTAGAGCTAAACGAGGGCTGCAATATAAAAGAACAAGTCAGGATAAACAATTCGGATCTTATGAACTGATATTTCATACGTTGTGATCAGCTTGGTTGTAACCTAAGTCAGAATCTATTGTTTAACATAGTCTTTAATGCCAGGTCAGGTTGGCAATCGCCTTGACCTTAGTGACCCTTTTGCTACTGAACGCTGAAGATTGAGGAAGTGTAGTGACTTCAAAGTATCATTTCATATTCCCATAGATAAGCAAACATTAATCAAATCCAATTGAACCAGAAACCAGATAAATCATAGCAAAAAATACAACTTCCAGACAAGCCTACATTCTTAACCTATAATTTCCATTATTCCAATCTACTCTCTTTTTAAATTCTTCATCTTAAATTTCACTTTCGAGACTACTTTTGATAAACATTTAGCTTCATGCTTTGAAAAGTTTTCTTAGAAAGTAAGCCGTAGACCGGTAATTATATTTCAGATCTTTTTGGCTACAAGAATATTAAAAGATTTTACCTCAAATGCATACAAGAGAAAAAGAAAAGTAAAGGAGGCAACATTTCTAAATCAATGAACATTCATAATCAATTTTCATGAGCAAATGTTTAATCTAGTTAGAGATAATCAGCATTGATACGCTTGAAAATATGGTAAAATTTTAGTTCAGACAACAGATGAGTAATTTGTAAGATGATTTGAAGATTTGTAGAGTATTAAAAATAATAGAAATTTTTTAAAAGAAAATTTAAAGATTTTTTGGGGGGATTTTTTGATTAGAAATGGGAGAAATGAGGATAGACATAAGAAATTTTAAAGATGACTTAATTAGTCGGAATTATTGAGTTTCTGAATTTTGAATTCAAGAATTGTGTGCGTTAAAGTTTCTTATTAAACTTTCAAAAATTGCTTGTTTGTCTGTCTGCCATGCAAAATTCGAAATTCAAAACCCCTTTTTCGAAAAATTTGAAAAGTCATAATCTTAAATAATTCATGATTTCGTGTAAATTTACTAATTCTGTTTGTTGATTAATGAATTTGAACCATAACAAAGCAAAATGCTTAATAATGAATTCGTAAATTCCTTGTAAATCAGGAAAAAAATGTCAACGGTTTTTGAAAATTTGAAATTTTTGAATGTGCATACTTTAATACCCCTATACTTCGGAATATCTGTCAAAATTGAATTTCCACCATCTGATTATTTTAAAACACATTTTTTCGCCAAAATTTCAAAGTTTTTTAAAAAATGTCTAAAGTTTAAAATAAACTAAGATTAATTTGCTTCAAAAACGTTCAGTTACAATGTTGCTGATTGAACCTTGTTTGCAGTTTTTATGTAAATCAGGGCAACATTTTTTTTATACATAGGAATTAATCCATATAAAAATACCGGTGTTATTTAATATGAAACTAGATAAAACCATCATTTTTTCCTCTTTTACGTCAATGGTTTTTAAAAGATCTACTGTAATTACATTTTGTAGCAATTATTGGATTTAAAACCAAAGAATTTTTAAGTCAAATTTTAAACTAGACACATTTTAAAGACTTTATTGTCTAGATTCAACCTTCAAAAATTCAAAAATTAACATTTCATCAATTTAGAAACTTCATTCATGCCCAATATCTTGTAAAATTCATCATTCATAAATTCAGCAGCTCTGAATGAGTAAACAAGGGATTATGCAAAAATTGAGTCACAAAACTGTCTCTTTAGTTCCGCAAAGAAATTTATATTATTATGATGCAAATCAGTGACTTCAAGCCAGCCAATCAGCAATAAAAAAAATTATTGTTTATAAAATTTCAATTTTCTATCCACAAATATCTCTTCCGGGTCATAAATTCACCCATTCTAGGCGAGACGATGAAAAAGTCACACACATAAAAAATTTTTACTTTTAGCACTTTCTAAAGTCACAAATTTCAATGTTGATGGTCATGGAGATGAAAAAGTGCACAACAAAGATTGTTATGAGACCGAGTGGCACAATGTGGTTGATAGGGAGTTGTGTTGTAGCTGTATTAAATGCACAGAGTTGTTGGAATAACCATAAAATTCATAGGGACATCAAAGGTAGCTCAACAATGCAAAGGCACTTGACTGATTCAGCATATTTCTCCCAAAACTACAGAACATATGTCAGCTGTCAAACTTATCAATTCTGACCATGTTAAGCATTAGAAGTGCCTTTCCAGCACTGGAACTCTCATCTGACTCCAAAAAACGAACACTCAACCACAATGTGTCACTCAGACATAATAAATGACTCAACTTACCTCGATCACTTGCTAAACTTAATCCATTCGATGTGTCAAGAATGACCATAAATGTAACAATGATCAATATTGAGGCACAAGAGGCACTCAATTTATTCTGAATTAATTTAATGAGCATTTTGTGAATTTTTCACACTTTGAAATTTCTTTTTCTAATTTTTTTTTTCTATCCGAAGTTTGAGTTCGTTAAGAAAGTCTTATTATGCTGCACGGTCTGTCTATTGACTCATTGAATAACGTTATTTCTCTTTCTTGACTGTAATCTTCTAATAATTAACATTTCATATCCAAAAAAGAGATGAGATTCGCACAATTTATTGACACAATTTTTATATAATTTTTAATTTTATATATTCTCCATCATATGTGTCATGTATATCCATAGATATATATAATTCTTATAATTTTTTTTTTTCGTCACTTAAACTACTTATTTTTCTTTCACAATGTACCGTTTGTTAACATACCACTGACGGACTGAATGAAGAGATATGTTTGCTGTTTTTTTTCCTATACTTGGTCACTTGCCAATGCTACCTTCTCTTCTTATTTACTTTATTATTGATTATTATTATTATTTTTAGACTGTCGCGATCAACTGCCAACCACCGACTGAATTTGTAGTGAAAGAATTTCTTTTGCAACAGCTTTAAATGATGAAATAAAAAATTGATGAGTGGAAGTTGAGCGCAACTTTTTAATATTTATTTTCTTGAATATTCAAAGACGAATTGTGCCTACTTTACGTACTGATCTCATACTGAAGTCAACAACATGTTTAGGAGAAATTTTTATAGAGAAAAATTTACGAGTGAGAAGTTGCTGATCGGTGGTTGAGTGAGAGGAATTTCTTTCCAATGCCAATTGCCAGTGATGAAGAGTTATCACACTTCTTTTCTATTTTCTCTTCTCCCTGCTTGCTAACTTATTTCTTTCTTTTTTTTGTGTGAAGCATTAAGTTTGAGTAAAATTGAGAATTTATTTTGTTCTCTTTACGCATTTATTGCTCATCAACAGAGTCTATGATGTTTTTTGATGATTTTTTATTTTGTGGGTCTCTTTTGGAATGATTTTTCTTGTGGCTGAAGAATGGTGAGAGTCGTGATCATCGTGATATGAGACTTGCTTCTTACTACTTTTAACTAATTTCTATCATACTGATTTTCATGATGACTTTTTCTTTCTGAGTTGATCATGCTGTTGTGTAAGGTAGTATGCACTGTTTATTGAAGATTACTCTTCTAAACACTTCTGAAGCATTTCTTTCCTAATCAGTCAGAAAATTTTCTTATGAAGTTAATCTGAGTTCTGTGTAGGGGTCGTTCACTTATGTCGTCCATCAAAAAACCTGATTTTTAGACCCCCCTCCGCCCTATGTCACAAAAATTCTATAGAAAAAAATTTCCATTGTTTGAACTGTCACAAAATCCTAGACCCCCCTCCCCCCTATGTCGGACGTCATAAGTGAACGGCCCCGTAGAGATTTAAACAAAAAACCAGTATTTTGCATAATTTTAAGCTATGAAGTTTTATTAGAGATCATTTTAGGCAGTGTTGTCCAAACTGTGTGCCGTAGGACATCCTTAGGTGTGACGTGAAAAAAAAGTAAAGTCAAAGTGTGCCGTGGCTGAAAAAAGTTTGGGCAACACTGTTTTAAGAAAAATAATGAACCAGTCAGATGAATGATGAATAGCGGGCACGGCTAGTAGGAATCTGGAAGTTGAATAAGTGAAAGATTTATGTATACTTATGAAATATAGAGTTTCTTTGTCTTTATTGTCTCTAAATGTGATCACTACAGATGCAAACTAGTAAGATCTTCAAACTTTTGAGTGATGTGAGATTGTGGTGTAATTGTGGCTTATCAAGATTTTCTTGATTTTGGCCTTTCGAGAAATCATAAAGTTTGTCAAAAGGAATCCTCTGCTCCAAGTCTAAATACTCGTGTGTTATCTCGCGTGATCGGCACACATTTTATTTGTTTTTCAATTTATTTCAATTTATTCATCTTAAATTGTGCAACAGTGTTTACTAAACCTTTAAGTGCTGCATTTTTATTCTTAATATTAATAATTTTTAAATCTATATTATGTACGCTAGCTCAGTGTATAGCGCATAATCTTCACTAAGCAGTTGTGTCCAGCAGCCAATTAAAAACTGTTTTAGATCTTAGAACTAGTGTTCATGTCGGCTCTCGTTCCAATCTTCAGTAGGTCATAATGTCTCCAGGTCCGTTTCAGTAAAAGCTCTTCATGGTGAATTTACGGATTGATTTACACATTGATATTCATTGAAATGTTAGCCACCCAATAGACGGGTTGATAGTATAAATAGAACCAAACGGCAGCAAATTCGCGTCCAGTTGGAAATGGCTTCCTAGAGGCTACTCTTATACCAAGCGAGTCAGACTCTTATAGACTCACAGCACATGTAAGAAATGAAGTCATGAATAGGACAGCAACCTCGTGAACACAATGCTAGCTTTTGCAGTCATTTGGAAAAAATCACAAAGTACGGAGATCATGCCAATTAACACGAAAAAACCAATGTTAAAAATAAAGAAAGTTTCTCGTAAGTTTATTTGCTTTCACATAAACTTTTGACATTATCGAGATACGTTATCTAATGTCAATGTTATGGCATCTCTCACAACCAGTTTGCTTGATAAGTTCATAAGAAATACAAATGTGGAACAGGATGAGCCAAAGTAGGAAGTAATGCTGCTTTATTATATCGCACTGTATGTGGGATATTGTGCGAAAAAATTACACTTCTTTCATTGTGGTAACCGCTGCTGATGTGAATAAAGCTACCGGAAGCTCATTAATAGCTTTTTGCAGAAATATTCTTTTTGATGATGGAACTGCTAAGATGATTTGACAGCTTGTTGCTGGAGCAATCATCAAACTTTGATAGATTCAGGTTAAAAATATCTAAAATTGGAAACTGAAAATCAATAAAAGATTGAGCAAATTTCAGTCAATCTAGTCCACATCCATATAATCAAGCCATTCAAGAACAATGTCATGTATAATTCTCAGATAGTCTCATATCCATCCAAGTATACCAAAAAGGATGACTTCAGAGATTTACATGAGCAGCAAAAAAAAATTGCAAATTAAGCAAAAACAAAATGGAAATTTGCTTCCGACAATCCAACAAGAGCTTCAGTCTTATGAGAAAAATTTTTTTATATTAAATTTCCCTTCCATCTCGTTAACTTTTTTCTTGTCTTCATCAAATTCATGAGATGAGCTTATGACATTTCTCGTTTACTTTGTTTTAGTGCTGCTCTTACCGAAAAGGAATGGAAATGAATTTTTTTATATTATTCTGTTATAAAAATAAAGCCATTCATAAAGTAGTCTATATTCTGTGTGAGATATGAGCAAGGAAAACAAATTAGAATGAAGAAGCTTTAGGATGCAATTGCATATATGGAAGAATGTTCTGATGTATGAGGGAGGCAGAGATGGGATTGTGGGTTGAGATGATATTGGGATGAATTGATCAAGTCCTGAGTTGAAGATAGAATCCATTGTAACATTCTTAAATGACACCTTCAAATTTCCCAAACCAACTCAAACTTCCAACACTGCTGAAAGCTTTGCATTTATAAGCGAATATGCACAAGAAAGAAAATGAGAAAAAAAGTTGTTCAGCACAATATTCATATTTTTCCATTAACTATGAAAAATTCTCTATAAAAATGCATTTGCAGTTCTTTTCATTTACGTGAATAATTTTTTTATTTTTATTAAAATGAAAAGTTCTTTCTTTCCATTTCGAAGACTCTTAAAAGAAAAGAGCAGGAAGAGGAGGAAATTTAGTAAGAAATTGCATTGCATTGCTTTGCGTCCTGATTAAATCTGAAATAAAAGTTAACAGATGAAATTCAATTTCGAAATTCAAAACCCCTTTTTCGAAAAATTCGAAAAGTCAAAATCTTAAATAATTCATGATTTCGTGTAAATTTACTAATTCTGTTTGTTGATTAATGATTTTTGATCATAACAAAGCTAAATGCTTAATTTGAAAATTTCTTGTAAATCAGGAAAAAAATTTCAACTGTTTTTTAAAATTTGAAAATTTCGAATGTGCATATTTTAACACCCCTAGATTTTCGATAAGTCTGACCAGAGATCGAAGCCGATTTTTTCGGCTTAACTCAATTTTTGATTTTTTTGATAGAAAAAAGCCATTTCACACCCATTTCAAGTATTTAAATTGAACTTTACATGCTTTACTATGATTCTGTGTAATATTTTGTCAGCATGTAGCTATAGGAAGCTCAGAATTTCAAGTTAAAGAATGTTAAGCCGAAATTTAAGCCGATCGGCTTAAAATCGGCTAAATTGAAATTCTAAGCTCACTATAGCTACATACTGACAAAATATTACACAGAATCATAGTAAAGCATGTAAAGTTCAATTTAAATACTTGAAATGTGAGTTAAATAGCTTTTTTCTATCAAAAAAATCAAAAATTGAGTTAAGCCGAAAAAATCGGCTTCGATCTCTGAGTCTGACGAACATGAATTGTTCGATGTCTCATGTCTGAAAATCTAAACAAAACAAAAAGACAAAGTTTTTATTTTTAAATTGTGAATTTATTGGAACACAAAATTTTGTATGTATAGTTTCCAAATAATACAAAGAATTTTCTTAAAAAGGCTCGTTTTGTATCCTTTTGATTTTTTTAACAATTTTTTCTTTAAGTACGAGTTTAATTAAAATAAATTAAATTAAAAATGCTAAATGGAATAAATAAAAAAATTTACAAATTTTTCTTTTCTTGTGTTAAAAGTTTTCATGATTTCTTGAAAACATTCAACAGAAAGAATTTATTAAGATCTAAGACTAAACATGATTTAATGCTTACAACTTTCTCATTCTAGAATTGATAAAAATCGACCCGAAATCGTTATGGATACATAGTCAGTCAATGTTCTTGCACATAATTTAATAATGGCAGTTTTAATTTTTCTATTGAATGAGAAAGTTTAAAGTTTCATTAAAACATGTCTCAATTTAATATTAAAATAATAATTGAAACCATTTTTATTTTGATAAAAGTCTTGAGTTGATTATTAAAAAAAAGGTGTTAAATTGTATTCCAAAAGTAGCATTAAGTTACTTCTGGATATCAAAAGGTTTGCTAAAATCAACAATACTTTAATTAAATTATCTTAAATTGTTTTGAGTTTTTGTTTCTGCAAGATTAAATTTAAAATGTTCAAATTCAGTTCTTTAAATTTTACAATCATAAACTTTAGTCAAAAAAGCAGTAAATAATTCAAGGGGGGTCTACGCTTTGCATAAATTCAAATAATATAAGTTTTCTATTAATTTTTAAAAATATTTGCAAAGCTGACAATAAAAATGTAAATGAACTAAACTGGATGAATTTAAACAATTTTGAAATTGAAGAATTAAAAATCTTTTATTCCTGAACAGCAATGACCCCTTAGCAGCCGAAGAAGCACTATTATGTCGAATGCCACAAGTTGGTTAACCGATCAGAAATCCAGCACCAAACTGGTGTGACTCTGATCTCAATCAAAGCCAGAGTCATGACAGTTGGGTCCTGGATTGCTATTCTAATAACCGACTTGTGCTATTCGGGATTATATTGCAAGAGTGACAATACGAAGCTAGTAGCTTTTGCCACTCAGCTGGCTGACTTTATAGCTTAATTTAAATCTTGCAAGTTATGTAAAAATACAAATCTCGTCAGATACTGACAAAATTCTCAATATAAATTATTCATTACTGCTCCTTTCGTCCTCAAGTTGAATAAATCAAGGGTGTGGAACTGATAAATTTCCCCGGAATGCACAAGTCGATTAATCGAATAGAAATCCAACACGTCTGACTCCAAGATTGCTAATCGATCAAACGACATGTGCTATCCGGGTACGTTATGATAGATTTTGATCAGTTCCACAACCTTGGAATAAATAAAAAGATTCTTCATGGTTTAAAAAAATTGTTACTTTTTTTACATTTTCATTTAAAATTATTAAAGTAAGTTGCATGCACCATCGAGGATTGAGGCAGAAGAATAAAATTTTCCACCCACTTTTGCTAAAATAATTCACATCCTTATCCGACTAATTCAATTCCGTCTTTACTAAAAAAATTAAATTCACTCAAATATTGAATCAGCTCCATATCATATCGTAGTTAAGCGCAGCATACAGCAAATATAAATCACATTGTCATGTTGGTTGAAAATCAATTTTTTTTATTCTTTCTTTGCCTCATTTTAGAACATCAATATTTGATTTATCCAATCCCTAAACTCTGATATTCTCGTATATACACCCGGTTGATTTGGCTCAGCACATCCTGCACGATTCGAATGAAATTTTTAAATTTAATTTTGTGGCTTTTTGATATTTTTCAAGATATAAAACTGATACTTACCGATTCCCCATGAAATTATTCCCGCAAGTTGGAAGCGCTTGTCTGTCCTTTGGATCACCATTGGTCCACCTGAGTCACTGTTTTTTCGGATGAGAATGATTTAAAGTGAGACAACTTCTTTATGGATTTTAAAAGATTGAGGAAGAGTTTTTGTTGGATTTTTAAAATTTTTATCAATCAATGATATTGATTAATGTTGATTAGTCTCAGACTTGATTGCTTTTAAAGATCTTAGACTCGAAAGATTTTAAAGATATCATACTCGAATCGAATTATGTTGCTTAAAGGTTGTCTAATAAGGAATCTTAGACATAAAGATAATGTATAAAGGATGTGTTGCGAAACAAACTGATGAATGGTTCTTAAACTTTTTTGAATGTGATATACAAAACTTGAGACAAAATGATCCAGGAGAGTGCAAGGGAGTGGAACTGAAGAATTACATTTTGATCATTTTTGACCATTTTTTGATCATTTTTGATCATTTTTTGATCATTTTCGATCATTTTTGATCATTTCATCAGTACCACACCCTTGGGAGTGTGTTACAAAGCCAAGTTAACAGTTATTTTTTTTGCTCTCTTAAAAGACTCATACTGATCAATACTTTATAAGTCTAGTCTATATCCCAAAATCTTAAAAACGATATGGTAAAGGTTTATATCAGTTAAAACGGTGTTGTAAAACGGTGTGTCTCAAATTCTTAGGTCGCGAAGCAGTAAAGGAATAGTAGATCTTTCGTTTTTGTTTTTGTGCCACGATGGGAATCACTTTTTCCACTTCAAAAATTTTTTCGCTGAACATAGTTTGAGAAACACTTAGTTAGAACTTGACAAATAAGTATGATTAAGAATAGCATATCCCGAATGGCAAATGACTTGAAAAAGTCGCAAAATAATGGTACCAGATCAGCGTGAGGCTGGAGTTGAACCAGATTTCATTGAATTTTGATCCACGTTAGCCTTATTCAGGAATGTTTTCCATATTTGGCGATTTTTCAATGGCTTGTTTCATTTGAAATCCATTAATTTTTCAGGTTTTATAGAATATATCTTGAGACGCAATACAAAGTCGCCATATAACATCGCTAGGTTTTACAATTAACGTCTGATGTTATCATGAGAGTCACTTGGCGACAAAATAAATTTGCTCGTATTATACCGCTTAGGTTTGTAGAAATATCCAACAGTTTCTTAAAATAATCATTCCAAAATCAATCCTTACCCTAAAACGAAACAAAAAAGGCATTAAAAATCTCAAAAAAAGCTCAAACTTTTTCCTTCTCACCTTCACAACTATCACGACCACCCTTCTGCCATCCAGCACAAATAAATATATGTGGTATGTGCTCAATATATCCAGCACTTCGATACATCGCCTCACAAATTTCATTTTTAATGATTGGCACTGAAACTTCTTGCAATACTGACGGAAGTGGACCATCTAAAATAATTTAATGAATAAGTCAAAATTTAATATTTAAATTTTATTATTCCATACCTTCATAAAGTCGACCCCAACCAGTCACGAAAGCCGTTCGTCCGATAAAATCTTCATCATTCTCAGGCACACAAACGGGGATGATGTTGGGTTGGAAAACTACAGGCTCATAAAATCTTAAACAGCAATAAAAGTTTATTTTTACATTTAAAATGACAAATTTTTTTAAGAACGAAAGTCATTAAAGGTCACAGCTTCCTCAAAACATAATTTGCGGACCGTAAAAATTTATTATTCTCACCTCAATAAAGCCAAATCATACTCGAATGTACGTGGATCGAATTGTGGATGTGATGCGACAATTTGGACACGTCTTTCCTGATAGCCGTAAGGTTCTTCCTCGATTGACAAATCGTATTCGCCTAGACGAAGAAGGAGATCGGATGGTGGAACGTTTTCAACGCAATGTGCTAAAAATAGAGGAATTTTAAAGGTTGGCATAAGTTATGAAGGTGCTTAAAGATCTGTGGATTAATTTTTAAATCCTTAAATTAATTCTAAATCTTCGGATTAATTTTTATTCCTCAGATTAGTTTTTAAATCCTCAGATTAAGTCCCAAATCTATCAACAATTCCTTACCAGCTGAAATAGCCCAATTCTCATTCAACAATGCACTTCCACATTTATGTAAATAGGTTGATGTGCGCCATTGCCTCAGTGAAATTTGCCATGGCCAGCGTCCAAATGCGGCCTTTGCACCTCCAACAATTCTCGCTTCAGGGAACATTCGACGACCGCAAACTTTAAAAAGAATTTTTTTAAATCGTGATGAAAATTATTTTAAACTAAAATTAAAATCCGCCTTACTCTGCTTATAGTCAATTCCCTCAAGATTCATGGCTGTAGTTGTAAATGGTGTTGTTGTTGTAGTCTCATTTCCACGAATACTTTCATCACTATCAGTCTCTGTGGATGATAAAGTCGTTGTATCGTAAGTCGTGTTTAAAAGCTCTGGATTAACAGTTGTATCATCCGGAATTGATACCGGCAATGTTTCATTAGGTGATAATTGTGTGATTGTGGATGATGATGTGCTGGATGATAATGTTGTTGATGCAGATCTGGTTGTTGTTGTTGTTATGGGTTCTATTGTGAGTTTTATAATGATTTATTATTAATTGGGAATGCAAAGTGTTCAGTGGAATGGCATGAAGTACAGAAATTAGAAAATTAATTATTCATTAGTTGTTGTATGAGTTGAGTTTACTTTGTGGTTGTTTGGACCTTTTATGTTTAAGATGAAAAGGTTTTTTGATGCATTTGAGGATCAGAAGGGATTAAAAGAGTAATTGTGGCATTAAAGTTTTATGACTTGAGGATGTTATTAGTCTGTTGGGTTGCTAGTCTGTTGAAAGGTTTAATTTTTGATGATTTGGTGGAATATAGAGAATTTGTAGTCGGTTTGATAGTCTAAAGTGTCCCAGATTGGTTTCAGATTATAACTAAATGTTGAAAGCCAACAGATGAACCAGAGCTTATTAAGTATTAAGTTTCATGTAGCTAATCCTATTTAAGAAGCTATTTCAAGCAGCACAACAAAGCAAATCGCATTATTTGCGTTCAGACAATCATCATTAGGGCAACATCAAGTCTCTTTCGGCCTGTTTCACTAAGGTGGATAATCCACTTTAGTGAAACATGCCTATTGATGTTTTATCATTGACACTATTAAGTTATGTTGCCCTAGCAACTACGTTGTGCTTCTCGTATAAGAATAGACATGACAGAAGTTAATCATAAGCCTTAATATTTGACATTAGAAGACATCATTGTTGACCAAAATTATTTCAGGTTTTTTAGTCATTCCTAGAATCTAGACAAACGCCACAGAATTAGAAGTTTAGCACTTATGATGTCCAAGAGGAGTAGTTTATTATAGGATGTTTATGCATTAAGCCAGTGTTTCTCAATCTTTTTTGGTCCACGGCACATTTTTTGATGTTTAAGACCTTTTTGAAAGGGCCAATTTTAGCAATCAATTTTTTTCAGCACGCTATGTGCTGTGTCGCGGCACATAGTTTGAGAATCACTGCATTAAACTGTCATAACTGACTCGAGCGACACAAAGTAGTTCCCGAATAATAAAGTTTTGTGATCCCTAGATAATTAGCCATTTTGAAGATGTTGCATGCTGACAATTGAAAAAATTTCATGTAAAAATTTAAAATTTTGCTAAGTTTCATGCTTCCAAAATGTAGGATTCATAATTTTGAATACAATAAGAAGCTTTAAGAATTGCAAGACATTTGACATAATTCTTACGTCTATTATACAGCTTGCTTCGTCTTGATTGACTACCAATAGTAGACATTTGATCTGAAATCCCCAAAAATTACATCGACAATGGCAAAATAGCCACAAAAACTACATTCATACACAAAAATGTCCCTAAACCAGTTAAAAATGCGCTTCTGACACCAAAGTTTAATGTTTTGCAATTTTACCATCTTGAATAGTTGTTATATCCTCATCCGAGTCTGTATTAGTCTCAACAGTCGTTTCTTCTCCACTTTCCTCATCCTCAGCTTCCCCAGAAACTTCAATTTCAACAGATGAAGTCTCTGACGAAGCTTCTTCTTCTTCTTGTGAAATGTGAATTAAATTTTCATCGCTTCCAATTTCTATCGTCGTTTCTTCGAGCTTAAACAACTCATTCGGTGCTGTTATTGGTTCTGTTAAATTTTCGTTTATTAGTGACTGTGTTGATGTTTCTATGATTTTACGTTCAGTTGTCATTGTATCAATAATTGACGGTGAATTTGAGTCGTTAGGTGTGACACTCGTTAATAATATCCATGCATCATCTTGATCATTATTATGTAAGTAAGTGTGTAATTAGTAAGACAAAAAAAAAGTTTATTATTAGCACACAAAGTTAGATGTAATGTTAAGGGATTGGAAATAATCGTGAAGCACGTGATGAATCCATTGAGATCAGCTGGATAGATTGATGGGCAAGATGTGAGTAACAATAATTATAATAATAATTTGCACATGCTTTATTTCATGGAAGAATGTGCATATTCTCATTGATGAGACAAGACATGCAGCTTGAATAGAATGATTGATACTTTTGTAGCTCACAAATTGCTTTTCAATACCCGTTAAAAATAATTTTGAAAATTTCAGTTGGAATTAAATTGACTTCAAAAACTTCCTTTAAATCAAAAATTCTCTTAAAAAATTCAAATTCTTAAAAACTGTTACAACAAAAAAACCCGTTACTTGACAACTTTCTACGCTGATTCATCTTAATTAAAAAGATTTTAATCCATTTAAAGCTACGACAACAGCAGAAACCGTTAATCGTTTACATATATCCCTTAACACAGCTATCGTATTTCACAGTTATATCATATCACGGCTGTCGCAAAAAACCTTAATCATCACACGTTATTCATGCACAAAAAGTCATCTCTGATTCATTCGCACATAAATATTAGTAACATAAAACCCACAGGCAGCGTGCATTAAATGATTCACATTCATACAAAAAAATAAATAAATGTTTCCATGCAATATTTTCTTTACCTTTCGTCGCGTTATCTGTAACTTCATTTCCAAGCGTCCATGTTACTAATCCCGTATTCGATAAAGTGCTACTCTGCTGCATTAATGTTGAACTTGGCGTTGTCTGATGTATTTCCTCTACAATTCTCTCCGTTGTCATATTTAATGGCTTTTGTGTTACTTCAATTTTCATTGTCGATGCTGCTGCATGTGTTGTTATAATTGATGATGATGATCCAGTCATTGATGTTTCGGAATCCGTTATTGGTCTTTTACTTGTACTCTGAGTAGTGCTGAAACTACTCGTTGTTTTAGTTGCAGGTCGTCGCGTGACTGATGTCGATTTAACGGTTGTTGCTGGCTTTTGCGATGACACTGGCTTTGATGTTGTGTCTTTCTTGTCATCGCCAGCTGATACAACGGAAAATGTTGTCGTAAATGCATCTTCGTCATAAAGTGTCGTGGGTTCAACTTTAACAACAGAATTTGTTGGTTTTGGTCGTGGTCTCGGTGCTTTTGTCGTTTCAACATACGAGATTGTGGTCAACAAATGTTCATTCGCTGGCTTTGATGAAGTCACCGGCAGTGGTTTTCTTGTTGTCGTTGAATTTCTTCGCGATGTTAATGTTGTTCTCCGATTTACAGCTACAGTCGTTACAACAGGTTTTCTTGTTGCCGCAGTCGTTGGAGGCAATTTTATCACAGTTGTAGAATTTTTCGTTGGTTTTGATGCCGGTGATCCTGTTGGTCGCTTCGTTGGTTTTATTGATGTCGTTGATGCATCCGATGTTCGATTCAAAACTGGTCTTTTTGTCACAATCGGCGGTTTTGTCTTTGACGTAACTCTCATTGTTGTGCTCTTTGTGACATTCTTAATTGAGTCTTGGATCGTTTGGAATGTCGTCAATTTTATGCTCTCCGTTGTACTTTGTGCTGTCTCATCATTCAAGTTAATTTTATTTGTTACATTACGTTCGATAATATTGCCGAGTGTCGTTGAGAAGCCACCAACATTTATTGCATATTTTTCCGTTGTTGACTTCTTTGTTGTAATTGGACGCTTTGACAATAATGTGGATGTGGATGATGCTAGTGTAGTCGTTGGAATTAGTTCGAATGTTTTATTATTGTAATTAATTGCTGGCTTCGATGACGTTTTGTAATTACTTGATGAAAAATGCACAGTTGATGGTGCTTGAGAGGTTGTTGGAACTGGACGAGTATTTTTGTTGTTTAATGATTGTTGCGATGATGGCGATGGAAAGTTTGAATCTATTCTATTATCATCTAAATCTATGTTATATAATGCATCTACTTCCTATAGACGATCATTTGATTTTTTTTTTATAAAAAAGAATGAAGCAGAAAGAAAATGGCAATTAATTAATTAACTGTAGATGTCATATATATTAATATTAAGTAGGTTACGTAAAGCATTGGATATATGAGATATAGTTGTAAGAGAACGGGAAGTAACAATAATCGTAAAGATTTGTTTAATGCCTTTATTTTAAATGTTTAGAATCCGTTAAGGTTTTAAAATAAGCTTTAAATGTTTTTCCGTTAATGAAAGTCGATAAAACTTTAATTCAAAAAATTACAGGTGCTCACATCTTAGTGGAGCTTAATTCCATCAATTTGTTAATAATCGTCAATTTCGAAGGTAAATCAAAAGAATTTTAATGAGTATTGAGCATGCTTTAGTGTTTTCTAATAATGTAAAGGTTCGATTCCCAATAGTTGCCAGTCTCTTAGGGGTCGTTTACTCATGACGTCCAAAATTACGGGCATTTTTCAAAAAATAACAATGGATTTCGAGGAAATTCTATTGTTCTTTTCTAGCTGATCCCCCCCCCCTCTAGACAACACAAGAAAACGGCCTCTTAAATTTATCATCCCTTTTAAAATAGTCGACTGGTTTAGGCTAAGAACAACATAACTTTACATTGAAGTTCGATATTCAAACTACTTATAAACTTACACAATACCTAAATATCAAATAAACAGAAACTCCCCAAAACTCACCTTGATTTGGCAACACGAGCCAAAATAAAACTTATCAATACACGTTCCTAAATGTGTTCCATTTGATTTGATGCAGTCAATTGCAAACATACAAACTCCCTTCATTCCACTCCTTCTCACCACACACGGTAAATTTCTTAGATTTCTAGCTGATTGAACTGAAACGAGAGAAATAAGATACAAATAAGAAACAAAGAAGACGAGCAGCATTAAAAAAAAGAGATGTAAAGGAATAGAAGGCAAGAAAGAAGACGACTAAATAATGTGAGGAGAATAAACTATAATCTGATTGCAATAATTCTTGTAATGAAGCATAAATAAACTTGATCTTGGATGTATGAATGCATCCTTGACCTCTTTATAAGGTTCTTTTCTTTCCTTCTTTCTCTCTCACTCCCGTTCTTTTGTTGTGCATGTTTGTCTATTCTTCACGAGCATGAATCTCGTTTCTTATAGCTTTTTACATTGTTCAGTTTAAGCATAGACGAGAATAAGTATCATAAAATAGTTTGTAAGGCTGGGAATAAGTTGAGATGTAAGTTGTGATGTCATTTGAGTTGGGATAGATGAGCTAGAGCGCATTATTGGTAGTTTCTAGTTTGGACTCGATGTTGTAATGTCTAAGCTAAGGAATCTTGGGTATCGAGTCAATAGACTAGAATTTCTGTAATCCTTCAAATTTGGTTTGATTCCATTTAAAGATTCCCATTATAATCATTATATAGAGTTTTGCTGATGTGACATTAGTCATTGCTGTAGTATTGGAAAGTTGGAATAACCGCAAATTGACAAAGTCCAAAGAAATTAAATTCACAATTCCTACAGCAGAAATATCTTCAATATCTTCAATATCATGCTAGCCAAAATATTGAAATGGCCATAAGTAAGTTGATCATCGATTTTGCCCGAAAAGAAGGTCTATCATAGAAAAGAACAGCTTAGAAATAAGCAATTTTTCAAGAATATGTCAAGCTCATAGCTTAAAACAGTCTTTGTGGCCTACAGCAATGAAAAATTTGTTAAGGATGGGTCAATAACAACAGAACAAACAACTTAACATAAAATCATTGAAATCCGTCCAAGAATCCAATGAATTTACAACTTAATACCCCGAAGCATGAGTCAATGCTCTACATTTCATTAATAAGCTACTCATATTCCCCAAACAGTAACAAAAGCCTGACAAATTGAATGCATTACCACCTTCTGTTATTCAAAATCATCATCCCATTGTCTGTCAATAAAATATTTCAATTGCTCTCTTTATGTCCACATATTCAGCTTTGGTGCTCACTTGACTCTTTCAATCCATTCTTCGATATTTACTTATTGTCTGACCCACGCATATATCCATTGTTAAATGAAAAATAACAAAAGAAATTGGAACATTCTTGTCGAGTGCGTTCAACTTCTGTGTCGATAACTAATCGGTGCTTCTATGTAGATTAAGATTCTTAAAGATTAAATTCTATTGGAATTATGTAAGCTGCATTCAATTTCAATATATTGAAAGACAATTGACCCAAATTCTTAAAATAGAGGAGAGGAAAGAAAAGTAAGACACTAATTGAATTAAACTCTCATTTCATTCCACATTCTCAATTTCTTTTCTGCTTTTTCTTCATTTCTCTTCTTGTGGCACAGTGTACAGAGTCGAATAATGTGATAATAAATTCTACAAACATATTCAAATTACTTCAGCAAATAGTATAAATGTTAGTTGGTTTTCAGATTAAGGACAAGAAGTAGGTTAGATTCCGAGAATGTTGACGGTGAGAGAATTGGGGAGGTTCGAAAATTACGTTTTTTGAATCAAAATTATTGAGTTTTTATATTACTTTTTGCTTATTGTGAACTTAAGTGGTTAGCAAATGTTATGGTCTAGTGCTTACATATGTCAAATATGACAGTGCAAAACCCAACAATCTTAGGTTCGAATCTTATCACACAACGTATAAGTTTCAATTCATAGGTTCCCAAAATTAAGCTTTTCAGACATTCGATGAAGAAATAGTTCGAATCCCAATAAAAATTGTTGTGGGCCTTTAGTAAAGTGCTGTATAATTAGCGCCTGAAGCCAGCTATTAGGGGGCACCTTATCTCAGAATTTAAGACTCACAAAGAAAAGGAATGTAAATTCGTAATTCTTGTTGTTCCATTGTCACAATATGAAACAATATGCAGCACTAGAGGATGGATAGCTTAGGATTTCTTAAGGCAGTGTTGTCCAAACTGTGTGCCACAACACACTAATGTGCCGTAGAAACTTTTTGATAGGCGAACTGCATATTTTTTGCGACTTCGGTCATGGCTTACCATTCAGGTGTGCTCAAAAAAGTTTGGACAACACTCTTGGGGTATACAAAGGTAGGGCGTATACATAGAAAATGTAGAAATTAAGTATAATCCAAGAAAAATTTTGAGGGTGGAATTTTATGAATTGATACTTTCCTGGTTTGGATTTTTCTCTCAAAAATCCTAGTAAATTAAAAAGAATATTCAAGTGTAAAATTACGCAAAGACCTTACAGAACAACGACGTAATTTTAAAACGAATCCCAAATCTGAATTAATATTATTTTTTTCTTGTGTCTAACAATAAGATACAGATGAGTGAGATAATGATCATTTAAAAGATGCGAAAGTGTAAGTCGACGTCTCATCATGCAAATGATGATGAATCATGCTTAGAAAATCAAAAAAAAGGTATCGTAAAAAAATAACAACCAAGTGACACAATTTCGCTTTAACATTTCATTTCATATTTTACTTTCTATTTGTTCGCTTAAATATGCAAAGCAAAGCGCTTTTGGCGAGAGAATCCGTTTCGTGTACACAACAATACATCGACAATAGGAGAAAGAATTTCGCTGTGTGCTTTACAAGAGAAGAATTAATGTCATGGCATACGGAGAGATGTTGTGGGAGCAAGCGGACATTAAAAATATTTTAGCAAATACGTAATTGGTTGGATCCGCATGGCAAATCTCACATGATTCAGAGATGTTTTTTTGGTAAAAGACTTTCACTGTATACAGCAGCTGTGATTAAATCTGCATATTTGCACTATGTTGTAAAGGAATTACCGCATTACTCATGATAATATTAATTTTATTCATCTAATGCAATGAGTGTGTACTTAAGTATCCTCTTGTGGATGATGATTTTTCATTTCAGTCTGCATTGTTACATCTGTTTGCTTAAAAGCTTTGATGTAAGGGTTATGGAAATGATTTAATTTTGTCATGAGATGAGAAGTACATCATTCATAGAATGTTTTTGGTTGAATCACTCGAGTTATGTAATTGAAATGGTGATGGATATAGTTTGTCATATATTGGATAAATGATAATGTAGTCATGACTGCTATCTTTTGAAAAACTCGTGTTACTGACCTATTGATTGAGTTTGGTCTAGAGAAGAAATTTAAACAGTTCAGAAGATCAAACATTTAACTATAGTAAGGAGAAGTGTTGATTTCAACACATTCTTCAACATTCTCCGTTACGGACAAGGTTTAAACAGTAAAAAGCATCACAGACTAATCCTTTATTGGTTGCTTTAGACACCTTGAGACTCTAGACATTTTAAAATATGTATTCTATCTCATTTCTATAAGAAGAGCTATTTTTTTCATAATTTTGTAGAATTGAGCAAATTTTAACCAAAATGTTCTAAAATTGAGCAACTTTTGAGCAAAATTTTCTAAAATTGAGCAACTTTTAAGCAAAATGTTCTAAAACTTTGCAATTTTTAAACAACATGTTCTAAAATTGAGCAACTTTTGAACAAAATGATCTAAAACTGAGCAAAACGTTCTAAAACTGAGCAAAACTAGAAAATATTGTTCTACACCACAGCTAGCTCATTAATTACCACTCAAAACATCTTGAGAAACATATTCATTTAATACTCAACACTTGTTGCTAACAAGAATCTTCACAACCATCCAACACGCTGCTACATTCTTACCTTTAAATAAATTTTCACCTTACTCACAGCGAACTTGAATATCGTTCAAATGAAAAATGTGTATAATGTAATATAATTATATAATAATCAGCTTTGCATAAAAAAAAATCTCAATAGTATTTGCGGAGATGTAAGTAAGAAAGAAAGATGAAAAAAAAATGCAAAGCGCCAAGATGGAAGGAAAAAAAATTGAGTTTAATGCCAATGTCATGTAGTCGTTCTTAAGGCTAAAGGAAATTACATTGCATGTTGTTTATGTTTCATTGTTTGATCGTCTTCGATATTTTTTTTAAATTCTAGTTTTTTTAAAACTTTATTCTGATGATAATTCTTGTTATTATATTTCATGTTATAAAGACGAATCAAAGCATGATCTTCAGACCGATAAATTTATTTTGAGATTGTAGATTTTTGTTTCGTACGTTATGAGTCTTGTCATGTTGATATATATGCGGAATTTTTAATTATGAATTGTTAATTGTTATTAATTATTATTTGAATTTTATGCAAAATTTTAATTTTTACGCCTTTTAGCTTTATGATCTTTTAATTGGATTTAGTTGCTGAAACAGCTTCATAATTTGTCGACCGTTTTTTGCTCAGTTTTAGAACATTATTCTCAAAAACTTGCTCAGTTCTAGAATATCTTGTTCAAAAATTGCTCAGTTTTTGAACATTACTCTCCAAAATTGCACAGCTGCAGAAATTTTTGCTCAAAAATTGCTCAGTTTCAAAACTTATTTCTCAAGAATTTTACAGTTTTAGAACAGTTTGCTCAAAAAGTTGCTCAGTTGTAGAACTTGTTGCTCAAGAATTGCTCAGTTTTAGAACATTTTAGTCAAAAATTGCTCAGTTGTAGAACTTGTTGCTCAAAAACTAGCTCAATTTTAGAACATTTTGCTCAAAAGTTGCTCATTTTGCTTAAACATCATCAAATTGTCTTTAAGTTGCATCACAAAACTTTCAAACATCTTCCAACTTACACAATAAGACAGTTGTATAATCAAATAAAAAAATTTCTCCACATCATGCACAACCAGAACGAACGCGAAATATATAAAAAGTCCCATAAACGTGTAATAAGATTATCTTCTGTATAAAATACTCACACTGTGAAAATTGTGATGATAATATTGGACTACTTATCGAATATTTAACAAAATGACATGACACTAGAAACAGTAATACTTGATTCCATTTTCTCCGCGTCCGACTATTTGCGTACATCTGTAAAAAAGTAGAATAAAGAAGAAGAGATGAGAAAAAAAATTAAAATAAAATCTTGTCAATGGGGAGAAGAAAAAAATCGTGTTAATGGACATTGTGGATGTTTTTCTGCATATTTTAAAATTTTCGAATCATTTTCATTTTCATCAAGCCAGGCAGAAATTTTTGTGATCTCGCTACATCACTTTCATCGATGCATTGACTTGCTCGATATAAATAAATTTAAGTATTTTTTTTGGACACTCGACGTTAATGACAATTTAATGTCTTTTGTCCAAAACATTTTTTATTAAGAAATTTGTCATTTCCCACTGCCGTCAGTTCCTCTTTTTGTTAAGAATGTCTTCAACAAGTTCAAAGAACTTCCATTGAATGAGAGCTGAAAAAGGTAATAAAGAGAAATAATTGTAGATGGAAATGGTATTTGATTGATTGGTTGTTGAACTAATGAGGATGATTCTGTTTTATATTGAAAATTGAGCGTACGACGTTTAGTGCTGCTATTTAACAATCTTGTTTACTCATTGTTCAAATTAAATTAATTTTGTACATGGGATACATTTCTTCCTCAGTTATTCCGCCTCGTTTGAATTTTTAATTTCTAGTCAAGATGAGGGAGGGCAAAATTGCATGAGAAAGCAGGAATGAGTCAAGTGTAAGCTATTTATTGGTTCGAGTTGATGTTGTTTTGAATCTCTTGGGATTCTTGGAATAAGGGTTAGTCATAAGGAGTTGATTGGAACTTTGTTGAATTTCGTATTGCAGTTTGGAGTATCGAACTTTATGTAGGCAAATCTGTTATAGCTTTTCTAAGGGCTTTATAGGCCGATTGGTTAGACTAAAGACCCAAAACTTGCAACACCAGCTTTTATGAAGATGGTGGGTTCGATTCTCAACAGAAATCAATCTCTCAATCATTTCAGCTAGATTATGACCAGTTTTTAAAGCTACTTGGGAAGCATAACCTATATTTCATCCCTAGTCTTACTTCAAGTAGCTATCACACTATTTAAAGAGTTCATTAATGTTATTCTATCGAAAAAATAAAAAACTAGAGAGTAGAAGCATGTTTGCCAGACTGATGAACGATTAGACAGTTGGACAATTTAAAATCAAAATTGTATGCAACTTACCCAACAGAAAAATATTTAAAAGCTACATTAACACCTTAGAATACAAATTAATCGCTATCTAATCCATTTTAAAACTCTTTACCAAGAATTCACACAAAAAAAGTTTCTCATAAGAATTTAAATCATATAAAAATTATCTTCACACCCAGATACCCAACCACATTAGTATGTTTCTCATTTCTCTTTCATCAAACAAAAAAAAAAGCTAATCAGTCCATCATGTGCGAATGACTTAAAAAGCTCAAAACAATACATGAATGCTAATTAAATTCTGAACTAGTTCTTTTCTAACACGAGAGAGAAAGAATAAAGAGCACAAGAAACACGACCCAGAATGAGACAAAGGCAAACATTCTTATTAGCACTTTTTCTTTCTTTCTTCATTCCACAAATTGCCATCAATTGACGGTCGTTAAACGTCAATCATATTATTATTTTCCATTATTTACATTTGAGGTCGTTCACTTATGACGTCAATCAAAAAACCTAATTTTTATACCCCCTCCCCCCCTCTGTCTCAAAAATTCTATAGAAAAAAATGTCCATTGTTTGAACTGTCACAAAATTCTAGACCCCCCTCCCCCCTCCCCCCCTAAATGTCGGACGTCATAAGTGAACGGCCCCTTTCTTAAATCAAAATTGAGACGAGAATCGTTGAACTGTGAGATAAATAGAAGAACTACGACACAAAATAGAAAAAAAGTTGAACTTAATAATTCATGCTTCTTATCTACGACTATTACCACAGACATTCTCAATGTGGTTGTAAGAAAAGAACTTCACAAAGACGTTGTATAATGCAATGAATATTGTATGAATGAATGGATACATGGAAACAGGTGGTCAGTGTCAGTAACCTTACGAATTTTATTATTTTTCGGAAGAAAGAATGAGAAAAAAAAATCACAGAAAAATTGTTTATTTCGTGGAATTTCCAAACATGAAAAGTTCTCAACAGTTTTTTTCTGGTTGTTTATGGCTGTAATGAGAGTAAATTGGATGCTTATTAACTAGAGAGTTGAGTTTAATTTTAGTTCTGGATCACAAAGTTCATTGAGATTTTAGGATATTGTAGTCAATTCTAAACTGGAGAGCATTAATAGCTTCTTTTTTTGCGCCTGGGACATGTTCTAATCCCATAGTTTATATAATAGAGACGTATTTGATACCAGTGTATAAAATAGTGTAAGGATAGAAAGATGCTCAACTCAAGTACATATTGAAAACCCGGCTCCAGGTAAGCGACAATACTGTTCAAAATTATTTTATAAAGCGATAATAGATGTCTGACTTTAAGAAAAAAGATTTGCATCTCTGCACAGGCATTAAACTCTTACCCTTTCAGACCAAACCCTTAACTCATCAAATATTAAAGTTCCAACTACTTCTTCCCTCAAAGATAAACAAAATTAACTTCATTAGTAGAACTTACAATGTTGTTGGGCGATAAAAGTCATGTTTCACATTCAAATAAGGATTCCTAGAACTAATAAAGCCATACTTTCTCATTTTTATTTTGTGTTGATGGACAGTCGAGCAGTGAATGTAGGATTTTAGGATTAAGACATTAAAACAGGAATATATTATGGACGGATTCTTGTGAATTGATCAAGGCACAGATTGTGTATATCTTAAAGGCATTTGGATGTTATTTTTCATTGGAAACGAATGGTTTTGGTTTGTTGTTTGTTGGAATTAGTAAATAGATTATTTAGATGTTTGTTTAGTAGTTTGAAAGATTTATGGGAAAAAAGTTGAGAATTGAGGAACTAGGTTGGGAAGCATTAGGTTGAATGAGGTTGATTGTGGAAAGTTTTTGAAGAATTTGATTTTCCTTATTCAAAGCTACACAGTTTTGCAATACCAAGAAATTCCTTTTTCTGATTCGTCACTCCAAAAAATTTCAGCAACAGCTCAACCATTCCTCATACACAAAAAATCTAAATTTAGAACCTTTAAAGCCAGGGATGGCGAACGGTCCTTATTTTTCGATTACGAATTTCGAAAGATACCTTATTTTAACGTTAATTTTTAAATTTTGAATTTCGAAACATAAGGTACACTAACACAAACAAAATTTTACTTTTGAATTTTTTTGCAATTTATCCATTAAATCAAACTTTAAAGCTAGTTTAAAGCATCCATTAATCATTACTTAAGCTGCATTAAGCAACTTATCATGTCCTGTACACAAAATTAGTTGAAATTAAGTAAAATTTAAATGAAACATTTTCAATGTTTACATTCGAATATTTTATGTAAGTGTTGGTGAGTTTTAAAAATATATTCAAATTTTTCCGAATTTAACGGTAATAGCTCTGTTCGCCATCCCTAGCTTTAAAGCTATTAATTTTGCAAATCACATACACAGAAGCTGTCAAAAGTTTTTCAATTTGACAGTTTTTTTACCAATTTGCTATGCAGAAGCCATAAACTGATTGATAGCGGTGATTTTTTTTGTGTTTTAAGAAAGCATTGCATGCAAAATTGATTTTAGCTTTGATTGTATTGGGGTCCGTTCACTTATGACGTCCGAAATTAAAGGTCATCTTTCAAAAAAGAACATTGAATTTTCTGGAATTTCTATTGTACTTTTCTTGTTGACCCCCTCTCTGGACGTCATAAGTAAACGGGTCCTTTGTAGTCTTTATTGCAATTAGAAGTGTTTTACTTTTAGGATTAGGAATTCCATCACTTGATTAATATGATTGAGGTCAGTTGCAGATGAAATTCATCGCAGACTTAATTATTGTCATAAAATTCTCCTGATTAAGTTTGTTTAAACATATTGATCAGCATAAACAACAGCCAGTCAGACTCAATTAGCAAAGTTAATCAAAATTCATCTCCACTTTCCATACCTTGCCTAGCCATAACCAAATGAAAGGGCATTTAACTGTAAAAACTATTGAAAAATTTTACTATCAATTATTAATTTGTCATGGAAGTAATGGCTTGGAAGAAATGAATAATTTTTGATGGCACAGACAGTTATTTGAGATTAAAAGAAAATAGCATTTTACAGCATTAATAGCCATTTACTTGCACAGATGAATCTCATCAATATCACAACAGCAGTTCCACAAAATTTAATTTATCATTACATTATTCATGAATTTGAATGTTTTTCTGGTTATGAAGTTGCTTTTAGAAGTTTTTGGAGACCCTTCTTGAAGTGCTTCAAGGTTCTATCAAATTTAATTGAATGAGTGATATTTGGAACTGCATTTCATAGATTTCATCGTTGATCTTGAACTTTTATGACAAATCAACTTAGAATCTACTTCATTTCACAAACAAAAGCTAATAAAAGCTTTACTATCCATCATCAACTTCCAATTTGCACAGATCTAAACATCAATCTTAAAGTTTTCATCAAAACCTCAACAAAAAGAACATTAGAAGCTGAAAATGCTGTTGAATAATTTATGTAACCCAAAAAAAAGTTTCAATTTCTTCTACCAACATAATCAATCTCTTACACCCAAATTTCATTCACTTTTTTTTCGGAAGTGAACTAAAAAGAAGAAGAACAAATTTTTTATCGCTTTAACAAAATTTTTTCTCTTTTTTTTTGTTGCTGAAATTTTCATTTTCTAAACCAAAGCTTTGGAGAGCAAAAAGAGACTAAACAATGAGGAAGAAGTTCATAAACATGTGTTAACCGCAGCAATTAAAATTTCTCTTCTTTAACTATTAACCTCGATTATTGTCACGGCAAAACAATTGTTTCATTTCATTTCATACTTTTCTTCTCTATTCGCGATGGCAATGCTCGCTTAAAGTGTTTTTTGTTCTTACAACAATTTAGAGGGGTTTGGAGTCACGGGAAAAATGTTGGATTTTGAAAAGAACAGTTGTGGTCAA